TTTGCCCGACACTGAGGATATTGAAGATAAAGACAACATTATTTACTGTTATGAATAAAGACCAATTACAACAAGAATTAAAAGCAAAGATAAAAGAGGGGATAAAACCCTCAGACTTAAAAAAACAACGGTGGAAAAACAACCCCTTAAAAAATAATTATTCCGATTATTCCGACCAAGGAATACCTACTCCCCCACCTCCACCAACTCTAAATAATAAGCAGGATAATTCCGATGAAGGATATGAGAGTGAGAGTGAAAAACCTAACAAAGTCAAAGAATTAGAACAAGCCCTCCAAGAGGCTAACCGTAAAATCAGGGAATTCCAAGAACAGGAAAAGCAGTGAAAAGAAACCATTCATAAATCTAACCTTCTAATTACCGATAAAGACCAAACCATCAAATATTTACAGGAATTAGCAAAATCCTTACAAAATAATAAAGAACAACCAACTTTCAACTGCTACCACTGCTCCCAAACCCACCCCCTCTCTTTATTAGTGATTGAAATCCCCGACAAAGGTAAATTATGCCAACCTTGCTGACAAATACTCCGTAAAAAAACCAAGCAAAAATTAATCCCATCCAAATTTACTTGCCACCATTGCCAAGAAATCAAGCCAGAAAAACCTTTTAAAGTAAAATTAGACAGTTCTTTACAAGAATACTCCATCTGCTCCTCTTGTTTGCCTCTAATTAAGGAGTATAACGAAAAAGAAGCCGACAGTAATCGAGAATTAGACATTTGAGAATAAAAAATATGGTAGAAACCAACGAAACAAAAACAGTCCCTAAACAATCATTAGCCCATTTATTCCCGGGAGGATTTAATGAGTTTTGGCAAAAAACGGAAATCAAAAAAGATTTAGAGCAAATTATTTATGAATATATTCCAGCCACCGATACCACCGAAGAACTCAAAAAAACCTTAGCCAGTGGAGGTTATGGATTATTAGCCCGACCAATTGGCAAACATTATTTTGACCGATACCAATTTCGAACCTATGAACCCCATGAGGATGTTTTTATTTCTACTTTTAAGACTAATATCATTAATGTCATTGTGGAAGTCCGTCGAAAAGAACATTTATGACAAGAAGCCTTCCGACCAGTTAAAAATTGACTAAAACCTTTAAAACTAACTACCGACACTAGAACCAGCAAGAATTATGATAACACTAAAATAGATGCTGGCAATATCATAAATAAAGGTTCTAATACTAACCAAACTAACGAACAAAAACAAATCAATTCTCAATCGGTTCCCATTTTCTCTAATGTTGACTTAACTGCTAGCCAATTTGGAGGTTTTCAACGACAACAACAATTAGCCACTAAACAAACCGAACAAGGACAGAATATTTCGGCTGGGAGTTCGAACCGAACTACGGCTAAACAAAATCTAACCAGTAAAGAATTTTACCGACAAAATAAAGATGCCAATGTCTCCATTACCAAACAAGATGCTTATGAGTTAAATAGTGTGAGTAGATTACTAAATAATTTCCTCATTACGGTGATTAAACTATCTGATTATTACCCCTTATTCGACAAATTATTTATCAAAATGTTCGGAGCTTCCGTGGTAGCAATCATAGATGAAAAGAGTGGACGGAGGAGATGAGTATCCCAAGCCGAATATGAAGAAATTGCAGCCGAAGAAACTCCGAAACCTAAATTAGATACCGGGAATGAATGAGATGAAACTTTACCTTATTTAGAAAGATTAAAGATATTATTAAAGAAAACCGAAAAGGAATATAATAAACTCCCTGATACTTCCAACCGAAAACCAAGAATAGCATTGAGATTAAAGGTTTTAGAGGGTTGTATTAAGGCTTATGAACCTGAATATATTGAATTACCCACCCCTGAGGAATTCCTAGCCCGAATAAAAGGAGAAGTAGAAGGCTACACCCGAGTAATTGGCTATGAAAACATTATTGAAATCGTAGCCAAATATTTAAAATCCTATCATTTTGCTAAAAAATATGGCACTCCTCCCCCAGTTCAATTAATGATTATGTTATTGGGAGAACCAGGATTAGGTAAAACCTATATCTCCCAAGCCATAGCCAAAGCCTTAGGAAGAGGTTTCCATATGGTTGGTATGAATGGGAAATTAAATGCTTCTCTAATTACTGGGACTAATATAGAAAACCCAGGAGCAGAACCAGGAGAAGTATTAAAGGCCATTAGTCGAAGAGAAGATAGAGGCTGTGTCATAGTTTTTGACGAAATAGAAAAAGCAGCCCGAGAATGTAAAGAGGCTTGTGGTATTCCTACTGATATCACCACTAATAAAAATTACCAAGACACTTTTTTAGACTTCCCATCTCCGACTAATGAATGTATTTTTATTGCCACGGTAAATAGACCGGAGGATGTTCCTAATTTTGTAGCCGACAGATTTGCCATTCGAGTGGAAGTTTTGCCCTTAGCCTATCAGCAAAGGTTAGAAGTGGTGAGGGTAGTTTTACAATCTGAATTAAAGAAATTAGAACCTGCTTTTGAGAAAATTTATCGTAAAAAGTGAGAGGAGGTTTATAGTTTATTTGAGAATGAAGAATTATTAAAAAAAACTTTAACTTGAACCTTTTCTATTCGAGGAGCCAAGAATAATATCCTTTTAAAACTCATTCCTACTTTAACCAGTGATTTCTTAGTCCCGGAAAGGACTTTGCCAAGTCAGGAGGGGATAATTGATTATGAGTGAAATTTCCTACAAAGGGAGGGTAAAGATGAAAGTTGCCCGTATGCTAAGGATAGCCGGAATAATCATAAACCGAATTGTATGTGTTTTGTGAAGAATTTAAACCTTGCTCCTGGATGAAGGGAAAATATGGGAGATACTTATCCTGAATAAAAAAATATGAATTACCAAATAATTAATCAAATCCAAGAAATAGATATTAACACTCGGAAGGAGTTATGAGACAGTTTATTCCTCTTTGTGAACTTCCAAGTCTTAAAAACTGAATATCCGAACATGTGAAATAAGAATTATCAACTTTTACCTTTGCCTAAATCTTATCAGACCACTAAGGAGAAATTCACTAAATATTGCCAAGGACTAAATCAGCAACTAGAACAGTTAATCAATTCCTTTAATTCTTATTTCCAAACTAATATTTACCCTTTACTAAATAATTTAGGGGGAGATAAAACTTTGGCTTTTCGGTGTGATAGATTATTAAAGAATAAGATAATTGGGGAAAGCAGTAGCCTTTTTAATGACCTGATTGTTTGTGAAGTAGAATATCGGCAAATGATAAAGTTTAAAGATTTATTGGGAGAATTAGAAAGTGGTTTACAAAACCAAGCAGATATTTTAGAAGATATCAAAAAGTCAAGAGAGGGGAGGATTAATTATTCCGTTAGTCAACGATTTATTTTTAAATGAAGTAAATTAATGGCCAAGGGAAACCAGCAAGAAAAGTGGGAGGAATTAACTAAACATTTAAGAGATTGAGAACAAGGCAAGGGTGCTAAAAGTCAATGAAAGAAACAATTAGATATTTTTAAAGAGCAAATCGAAAACTTTTTTTTATTAGGTTCCGAAAGTATCACCGATGGCAAACCTTTCTTTCAATTAGGGAAAATTAAAGAGGATAGTGAAAGAGGCTTAGTAATTACCACCCAAAATAGAAAAGGGTTTAGTTTAAATAATCCTTATCTTTTTGTAGTTAATTTTCATCAGAAATATTTTCGAGTTTATACTGTTAGTAGTCATCAACATATTAATCCTAGGAATTTATATGTCGAATTATTTCTCAAAGAAGATTGAGTGTGAAAGGATTATCCCTTAATTATTCATAGTTTAGGGAGTTTAAATAGTGGTAATCATCCCGTTTATCATAGTAGGAATTTGGGTTAATATTTAGACTGATAACTGACCTAATAACTATAAAATTATAA